AATGGTCAGGGGTCCCTTTACCTTTACCCTTTAGAATACATTCACTGATTGCAATGCTCTGCATCAAGCAGTCCGTAGTCTGCTTTAAGCATTAACTGAAATGGTCTGGACAGAGGTGTAGCAAGGTCAGGTGATACCCAGTGCGAAAATATCTTTGTCAACCCCCCCCCTTTATAATTTTTGGGAAGTTCTTGAGCTTTTTGGAGGGAGGGTACCCCAAAGTTGTTGAGCTTTTTTTTAGGGGCAGTTGGCCGCAGATCGCACAAATCCAACCTACAACCATATAAACCATGTCAGCGCTACCAGCCGGGGGTGCAAGCTGTGAATAAATCTAAGTCTCAACATTAACAAATATGTAGCATTTGCAAGAAAGGCCACACAAACTTTTTTTTAAAAAGCTACTGTTGCCCCATGATCCAGTCACAATTAACAACAATGAGGGTGGGTGAAAAGAAAAAGTTACGTTGTATCCACTGAAAACTGCAGATCAAAATAATGAACACAGAACAATCTTTAAATGTTATGGTATATTCTGGAGAATATACAATATTCCCACTAATGAATTATTACATATAAACTAATAATTTATTGGAAGGGTCGTTAGTGTGTTGGCTATGATACTGATGGCCAGATGCAAAATACAATTGGGATCCTACAGCTTTAACAGTTGTTTAGAAGAAGAAGAAATCAGTAGGCGCACCTACTTGGCATCTAAATGGATAGGCTTTTGGTTTAATGATTATGTGCACATCATCAAGATACACTTGTTGAAAAAGCTGAGAACTGGAGATAAAGAAAATATAATGCATTGGGGCTGTACAATAAACATATACTGAATTCAATTTAAAATAATCAAACCCCTGCCTTGAAACAGTTAATAGTCATGAGTGGGTCACCCTCTCCCCTCACATCTAATCTGAAATAGGTTTATTTGAATAAGATCAATTCAGGCATAAAATTAATCCAAAATGTGATGCTTTCCAAACTAGTAAGACCTCTGTATTCTATCTGCATTTTTGGTCATGTCACTGGGCATATGATGGATCGAACCACAAAATTTCAAAACAGGAAAGTAGATTAATATATTCAACGGATGTTTCCTTGGCCTGGCCCACACATTTTTCAGAAGGGACATTCAAAAATATAATTCTTGTCCTGCAAGCTTAAATCATGCAGTTCATTAATTCCTGTTTCATTCCACTGCCTGTGTAGACCCAGCCTATTTATATGCCAGAAATATCCTGTCTTAAAACTTCAGAATTAATAGGCATGTAATGCTAAATAGCTTCAGTGAGACTTGCAAGACTTGTAAATTTGTGTGGTGCAACCTTCAGATTATGTTTTAAAATACTGTACAATAGATGTTTTTCCCTGGGTGGTTGTTTTTGTTTTGTTTTGCTTTGTTAAATAACCATATATATTTTCGGTTTCTGGAAATAACAAAGGTGAATCTTTTTAGGAAATTACCTGGTTTGCGTGTGACACTAAGCCAAACCATGGTTTAGCATGAGCATGACCATGAACAAACACACATTAAGGTTCTCAGAGTGAAGATTATGACTGCTGCACCTCAAGTCCTGCTGCTACAGCACTATTCAGGCTGAAACCATGGTTTTGCTTTGCATTGCATCCAAGTGGGTGTTTATTGTTTATCTCACGCCAGACAAACCATGAGCAGTAACTAAGGCTTGCTCTTGATAATGATTGTGGCTTGTCTGGGGGAGACAAACCACAAGCTCAGATTCAGACATGATGCTAAACCATGTTATGGCTTAGCTCATGGGTAGGCAAACTAAGGCTCAGGGGCCGGATCCAGCCCAATCGCCTTCTAAATCCAGCCCATGGACGGTCCAGGAATCAGTGTGTTTTTACATGAGTAGAATGTGTCACTTTATTTAAAATGCGTCTCTGGGTTATTTGTGGGGCATAGGAATTCGTTCATAATTTTTTTTGCAAAATATAGTCTGGCCCCCCCCCACAAGGTCTGACGGACAGTGGACTGCCCCCCTGCTGAAAAAAGTTTGCTGACCCCTGGCTTAGCTCTTCACTCCAGCAACCTGCATGTTTGCTCATTTATACTAAGTCATGGTTTAGCTTAATGTTACATACAAATACATACATTGTATAACTCTGATGTATCAAACCTAAGTAATTTATGTTACTTACTCAAGAAGGTGCATTTATCACTGCCAAATGACTGCTGCTGGAAACTCTTTTGCCAGAAATCTGTTGCTGTGCAACATAAAAATGAACTTGGTGATGGAATTCCTTCTGTAAGTTCACACATGGCTACAATCCTTGGCCGAGTAAATAGCCAAGAAATATATAGCATTTTCCAGATCTGTAGGACTCTAGCCAACAGTAACTTAAGATTCTTAACAATAAAAATTATGCAGTTTCGAGCCCACACTGACAGTGTCTTTGGATGTCACAATCAACCATGGTTTATCATGACAAGAATTAGCTTAGTGAAGCCTCAGGCTCATATATTTCCCACTTTTCCTTCTCCCTTGGCACAGCTGCAGGATGGAATTTGGAAGCTTTCACTTGTGATTAACCATAGCTGCTTGTGAACTGAATGCAAAAAAGGGGGGAAGGGGGGGGGTTAATCTGAACTACAGTTTGCTTGCAACAAGCCAACTTCAAATTATGGATTATGAAGCTGTCTTGTTTCCACACCCCATCACTATGATTTACCGCTGTTTAGCTCTGAATGCAATACTGAATTGTATTTAATCAGAAGCAGAAGCAAAAGCTTCCAAATGCCTTCTCATGTCTGGAGTAGAGGAGAGGAGCAATGTTGATTCTAAAGGTTTAACTTTGTTCCTGTCACAATAAATGAATGAGTCGTGGCAGCAGAAGGCAATATAAGGTCTTCTACTTTTCACCCCTCTATTCTCCTGATTTGCCCCTCACATCGGCTTGGGGGGGGTGGCTTTCAGAGGAACTCCTAGAATAGTGCATGGGGAAGAAGGAGAGGGGAGATTGTTCCATCTGGTATGCTGAAATGCTGGAACTGATGGAACTATCTTCTTAAAACTACATTGAATTCCTCCCAATGGTTCTAACAGCCAATATCAGAAAAACCAGTTATGCTTTTTGCATACATGTAAAGCAAAAACTGTTGTTAAGGGCAGGGTATTCTTACGCTGAATAATAATGTATACATACTTGCCATAGATGGCAATAAACAGGTAAGTTTTTTGCCATAGTCACATGGCAGCTTGGTCATTCAAAATTTTCCCTAGTTAAGACATAATTTTTTCATGGGGAAACATTGCCAATCGATGATGAACTCATAATGAAGGCAGTTTATGAATGGAACATCTTCATCCACCCACTTCTTATGCAAGAGACACAGAGTTTGCACCAATGTTCCTGTACTGCCGCATGTCCATAAAAATTACAGGAAATAATTTGGCAATGTTTGCTCATTGCAGACCAAGGACACATCAGATCTTTCCCCCAAGTGTTACAGTCAGAATCGATAGCTCAGTGGTCTATATTAAACTGTGCGATTTTTCAGGTGGGTAACAACCCCCCAAACCCTTTAAAAACAATGGAACCCTCCTTACAATGGAGGTCATGACACTTTCTGTGCAACAGGGGTAGCTGGATGGGATCTCTGTTAGAAAGCAAGAACAATAAAGAAACCTGCAAACATAAAATTCATAATGGAATACAGTTTCATGGACTAGTCCACTTCATGATAAATTGGACTCTGGTATAGGAATGCTAATGGCATAAATTTATTATGTATCACAATATATTTTGTTATGCTTTAAGCAGCTACAGGCCTCTTTGGCTGTTTTAGCTGCAGCAGGCTAACCCAGCAGGAAGTTGTTACTATTTGAAAGCACCAATGCCCAACAGGAGCAACATAGGCATGGATGGCCACAAAGAGACAGATGTCATATCTTCTTCTTATTCCTCTTCTTTGGCGATCACTCGTAGCTGAGTAAGATTGTTAAAACGGTGTTTATGGAAGACAATGAGTCTGTAAGTGACCGTGGAGGCCAATTCTGGATCCACACGTCCTTCCACAGTGGGGACATTGGTTTCCGAGCAGGACTTGATCACGGTGTGGATTTGCCAAGCATGCCTTACGTAGTGTTTCTGAGATGTGAAAGCTAGGAGCTAAATGGCACCTTAAACCTAGGTTATGGGCACCACAATGGAGTGTCTAGGCTCGCTTTTTTCTTTAATAACAAGAATACAAAGCTGAAAATGAATGAATCTTATGTTCATTTTTCACATGTTCTAGTCCTCATCTTAAGACTGCAAAAAACAAAGCCATACTTCCCCTGCCCACCCCACTAATATTCTTATGAGGATCCCTTTTCCAGTCTTCAGCGAGTGGCTGGAAGTGGGGAGGCAGAAAAAGGTCCTTCTTTCCTTCCAGCAGTGGCAGTTTCAGTCTGAAATCTTTTGGGCAGTACTGCGCCCAGAACTCAGAAACTGTTTGCATTAATGAAATCCCAAAACGCTGGGAGTTTCGAATGCTGGTCCTATGCAACACACCAGAACATGCCGTTTGAAAGACCTTTGCCACAATCTTATTAATTAAAGAGCAGCTGTAACACCATGCCTAAGGGTGCAATCCTATGCACACTTACCCTACTGAGTAAAACCTACTGAGCACAGTGGGCTTTGCTTCTGATCACACATGCATAGTATTACTCAGCAAGAGAGCTGTTTGAGCAGGAAGCCCTTGCTTTGAATCTTGCTTCTGTGGGGAATTTAGGAAGGAAGGCTGCAATCCCAGCATCAAACCCCAATAGACATGCATCGGACGCTGTTGTGTGTCACTTTTTCGGCTAACCTCAAGTCTGAAAGCTTCAGCCCTGCTTTTCTCCCCAGTTCCCAGCTCAAATATGAAAGGGGTGCGTGGGAAAATACTGATTTCCCTTATAGAATAATAGGATTGTAAAGTTGGGAGGGGTCTAAAAGGACATCTAGTCCAAGCCCTGCAATGCAGGAATCTTTTGTCCCGTCCCCCCCGCCAACCACCCATGGGACTCGAACCCACGACCTTGAGATTAAGAGTATCATGCTCCACTGCTGAGCTATCCCAGATTAAAGTTTGCTTAGAAGTTTGAAAGGACGAACGGGAGGCGCTCTGAACGCTCGACAGCGCCATACACATGGCCAAGTCTCAATACTATTGAAGGGGACACAACGAAACAACGGCCTTCCGATCCAAGACAGACGCGCCTCGTCGCGACGGGACTCCCCGCGAGCCACAGGAGGCGCTAGGGCTCCCTCCGTCTCTCCCACCTTGCGCCGCTGCTTCCACGTCCCGTCCCCCCCTTCCAAGCCACATGGTACGCGCGCCCTGCCAAGGGATGCCAGCGCGCGAGATGGGACAGCGCGAGTTCATTGGCGGCGCCCGGGGGGGGGGGGGAGACGGGACGACGCTTCTTCGCGCCTTTCCCGCGCTCTCCAGAAGAGGCGAACTGAACTCACCCTCAGCTGGAGCCGGCAGCGGCTGGCGACGCTGGCGACGGCGGCGGCTGCGCTCTGGCGGTGCTCGGACGCCAAGCTGGGTCTCAGCAGGCTCCGGGTGAATCTCCGCGTTTTCTCCACAGCCATGAGAGCCTCAGAGCGGCTGGCAGGAAAAGTCCGGCGGCGGCGGCGGCGGCGGCGCAGACTGGCAGCACTCCCGCCTCTCAGCCGCGTTCAGGAAGCGGAACTCGGGGCTTGCTTGCTTGCTTGCTTCTTCTCGCTTTTCCCCCTCTGCAGCTCGAAGGCGTGACACGCGCGCTCCCCCCCCCCCCATTCACCTCCGCGGCGCTTTTCTCCTTTTTTTGAGGCGGGGGGGGGAGCGTCGCGAGGCGAGGCATCGGAGCGGAGACGGAGGCGCCCAAGTTGGCAACTCTGCAGAACGACCGGCGGGAAAGCTTCCCCGCCAGCTGCCCAGCCGCCTCTCTCTCTCTCTCTCTGTCACACGGCTGCCTTGGCCTGAGCGGGGTCTAGTCAGCGCCTCCTCGCCGCTCCCCGCAACAGGCCGAGGCTGTCAGGGCTCCTACTTCGCTACTGGAAACAGCGGGGGCCTCGGGGCAGATGCCCCTAGAATAAGCAAGAGGGAGGTCCCACACTCCGCACGACTGCCTTGCTACCTGTGAAATAACCCACATGCTGGCATAAGAGCCATTCCTAGGGGCCGAGGTCCCTTCGTAGCGCACCCCCAGCTGTCAACGTTTCCCTTTTTTAAAGGGAAATTCCCTTAATCCGAATAGGATTCCTCGCAAGAAAAGGGAAAAGTTGACAGCTATGCCCCCCCATCAAAATATTTAAGGGGGGCGCTGCCCCCAGGTTGATGGGCACTGCCATTCAGATGCTGTGTGCACAGGTTGCATCTTGTGTTCAGTTATGAGGGGCGGAGCTTACTTGCCCCCCCCATCTAATTCAAGTTGGCACCCCTGCATGCCAGAACTGTACCGTTGGTAAAGACCCTGAGGATCAGTGTCGGATTTGCGTATAAGCTAAACAAGCTATAGCTTAAGGCCCCACTCCCTTGGCGGCCCCAAAAAAATTAAAGGGGGAAAAAAACCCTGGATGTACATTTCCAAAATATAAGATAAAAAACAAAAAAATAAAACCTACAAATAGCAACAGTGTTTGTGTTGTGTAGGCCCCTATGATGTAAGTAATGGGCCCCGCCTGCTAGCCTGCTCCCTAAAATATCACTGGTTTGCTCATTTCTATATATAGGGTGCCTACATTCTGCTTGGGCTTTGCATTCTGCATGGACTTTTCAACAATTACTTAGATAAAATACGTATTTTGTTATGTGCAAATGGCTTTAGATACATATTAAGTCCACAACTTACCATATAGCATATATTCAACACAAAAAAACAGCAACAATTTGTTGTTGACAAAGGACAGCTGGACATATAAAGGGCCCCATTACCTTCAGTAACTTAGGGCTTATCAAACCTAAATCCAGCCCTGCTAAGAATCATCATCATTTTATTATTTATACCCCGCCCATCTGGCCAGGTTTCCCCAGCCACTCTGGGCAGGTTCCAACAAAACATGAAAACACAATAAAATGTCAAACTTTAAAAACTTGACAACCATATGTCAGGAGTGCTCTGATGGTGTTTCCTGCTTGGCAGGGGGTTGGACTCGATGGCCCTTGTGGTCTCTTCCAACTCTATGATTCTATGATTCTATGAAAAACTTCTGGATACAGGGCTGCCTTCAGATGTCTTCTAAAAGTAGTCATCTAGTCCAAACCCCAACCCCCTGCAATGCAGCTGTCCCATACCGGGACAGAAGGCATTAATCAAGCCACAGGCCCTCATAGGATAACTAATAACTATTATTATATTACTATTACTCCTAGGTCAGCATCATCAGATACAGTGATGCAATGATCCTCACACACTTAATGCAGATAAGTGATTCTGCCAGACATCCGGTTCTACAAACAATGGCTGCAAAAAAGGCTCAGATCCTGTGTTACCCACACTGCAGTGTGGCTGCTTTTACACAGTTCAAAAAACATTTCAGGAAGTGGGTATCATGGGCAGAGTTGACAGCATGGTTACTTCCCACTCTGGAAGCTGGTAATCTTGTCTTGAGACTTAACAGCAACACCACCCCATGATCACTTCCTTCAATCATGAGTGGAGCAGAATGAGTGTTACCACACCACAACTGGTAACATATGAACTTAAATATTTTCTTCCACCACCCTCCAAATGAATTTCTGTCCAGGGTATTTGGTAAAGCAGTATAATTTTGAATAAATATATAAATAGCACGTCCAGGAAGGCATGTCACATCGTTTTAGTTAAATTTCTGTGGTTTTCTGGTCATTTTTACAACCATGTTGAGCGAACCCTCTTCATATATCTCATATTTATGAAAAGGTAATTCAAACCTGAAATCTGGTGGCAGCATGGAACAAATTCTGCAGCAGCAGCAGCAAACATCTGTCCTTTTCTTCCATTTCATCAATGGCATGCATCCATCTAGAAGAGAGGAAACAGCAACTTATTCCACTAGTGCTTGTGCGCTCAATTCATAACCAAGGAAACTAAAGGCAGAAATGAGATTTTTGGGTGGCATTCTCTTCTCTCACTTAACTGGAATTTTTATATAGGCTTGAGGAATATATATATATATTCAGGAAAGAAAGGAATGCGTGCCATTGTGGCTGCCTTGTTTGTCACACCCACCTCTGCTTGAATGACAGCAAGGTGCCTGTCTGAAGCTAGAACACGAATGCATAATCTCTTCTGCTTTGGGCACTTAGGAAAGTCAAGAGATGGAAAACACAGGTTTAGTTGCCCAAGGGCTATGTTATTGAATGCCAAGGCTTTGAAATTTAAAATCAGCGTCAGCTTATTGCAGGACTCTCTCCAGCTATTCTAGCTTAGTTTGCATTAATTTTAAAAGGCAGTGTCTAGGCACAGAGCAGTGAGCCTCAGGGCTCTCTGAGGCTGCACCCTATGTTGCTTGGATTATCTAGTGAATGTGGTGGAATCAGGGTAGTATGTACATGTGAAGGAAAAGCCATTGCCATTGAGATGTTAATATGTGTTCCTTGACATTTCTCCCAGATACAAGGACCAGAACTTTAGGAGTATATTTCTTACATGCAGACTGAAAATGTGATAGCTGACCAGTATTTACAGGCATCGATACTATCAAGTGACTCCGACACGAGGCAAAATAATAATAATTGTCGGAATCCACGCACCAAATGGGATAGTAACAATGTTAGAACAGGCAACCCCTGTATTGTGCAGGGGTTATGTTCTGGGTTGCTGTGTGTGCTGGCAGAGCATGAATAAGCTGGCCCCATTCCACCCCTTTCACACCCTCTTCTGGGTCCAAAACCATCCTGTGCATGCACAGCCATACGTTCTTTGAACTCATGCAAAACGGGAGTTGCCTGTATACCTATGCCCATACAGTGGTACCTCGGGTTAAGTACTTAATTCGTTCCAGAAGTCCATTCTTAACCTGAAACTGTTCTTAACCTGAAGCACCACTTTAGCTAATGGGGCCTCCTGCTGCCGTTGCGCCGCTGGAGCACGATTTCTGTTCTCATCCTGAAGTGAAGTTCTTAACCTGAGGTACTATTTCTGGGTTAGCTGAGTCTGTAACATGAAGCGTATGTAACCCGAGGTACCACTGTATTAGTCTATCCCACTAGTTTGTGAGGTCACGAAGAGTCGGACACAACTAAACGACTAAACAACAACAACAACTAGTGTGTGGTGTACCAATAAGATAATTTGAATCAAATTGTGTTGAATTTAAAATGGGTATTGACAAATTCCTGTCTGTCAAATGGTTACAAATTGTGATGACTACATGCTGGTAGGAAAAACAAGAGGCGGCTATTCCCTTCTTGCCCTGTCTGTGGGTGTCACAAAAGTGTTGGGTTGGCAGCTGGAGGAGTTCATCCAAATGAATGATTTTACCATTTTGGAAATGAAGTTGACAGTTTTCCAGTAAGTCACAAAGTCGGAAACAGTTTGATTTCATTACAAAAGTACATGGGGGAAGTTCAGTTGCTCTACATTCCCATCTTGTTTTGTTAGTCAAAAACAGATCATTCAAGACGGGAATGTAAAGAAACTGAACTTTGCCCTCCTTACCACACATCTTTAACTTATTTTTCTTGTCATCATTTGTTTTGTTATGAAACAGGGGTTGCTTGTCAGGAATTGCTCTTAGTTCTTGTTTTGTCATCAACTAGAGCAGGCTGTGACTGGACTTAACTGCCAGAGGTCCTTTACCTTTACCTTTTTAGAGCAGGCATAGGCCAACTCTGGCCCTCCAGATGTTTGGGACTACAATTCCCATCATCCCTAGCTAACAGGACCAGTGGTCAGGGGTGATGGGAATTGTAGTCCCAAACATCTGGAGGGCCAGAGTTGGCCTATGCCTGAACCAGAGCCTATTCCTATGCTGCTTTTTCCTCTATGGGATGCACAGCATATACAGACGTCAGTATACATCTCTTCCTAGATAAGTTTAGTTATCTTTAAGGCGATGATGACCCATGTTTAGACTTGCTTTGAACACTAGAAAAATCACCATTTC